TAATGTGCCTTGCCTAAAATGCTCAAAATTCTCTGACCGGTTCACTTCAATGAGATTCCAATTAACTCAGCTGAAATTAGAGAAATTGTCTATTAATTAAAATGAACTTAAATAATCTTAAGGGTTCTGCAAGACTCATCATTCCATTTGTTACCCAGCATCTTAAGGATTTTGTAGGAATGTTTGGTTAGCTCTTACTAGACCAGAGACACACTGGCTGGAAGTTCCCATTTCCCTTGTTCAGATAGAACAGGGTATTGGACAGAAGTCACTATGCCTAATGGGATGGAATGTGTCAAATGGGCATGTGATCTGGTGGAAAACCCAAGCCAGAAAAGCAGCTCAAAAGAAGTTAACAGGTTTTCTTGTGGCAACGTATTCTGGCTCAATTTAAGAGGCAAGTACCCAGCAGAATTAAGATCATAAGTTCTGGGGGTTGTCAGTGACAGGCAGATGCTGGATTTTCCCACAGTGTGAGATAAGCAAGTGTACATTGGGGATGCACACACAATGATGTTGACATCAGACAGACACATGGAAAGTAAATGCCCTGTCACTGATTTGCAAACTCTGATGAGCACATTGTTGAAGGCTCCTAGCAGGTACAAATCTGACAGGACCACCAGGATTATTTCTCCTCTCTCATCCATTTTCAAGAACGTTTGTTTGTCTGAACAAAATCCTTAATGGGAGTTGATTTTATTTACCTTCAAAGACGTTTTCTCCACTTAACATTGGGCTAGTTCTTCATTGGGAAAAATATCCACAGGTAACAGTTACCTCCAGTTCGATCATTGCCACCCCATGTACCCTCAGATCCCCTATACCAGCCTTATGACCCCACACAGACCTAACAAAGAACATAAGGTGTGGAGTAAGAGTAGGCCATTCAGCCTATCAAGTCTGCTGCACTATCGAAAAAGATCATGGCTCGTGTGACCGAAAACTCAAAGCCACATTTCTGCCTACCCCTGACAACCTTTCACACCCTTTCTTCGCAAAGACCTATCTACTCTGCCTTAAATATAACTCAAGAAATCTGCTTGCACCACCTTATTGGGAAGAGAGTTCCAAAGACTCAGGATGTTCTGTGAAAAACAAATTTGCCTCATCTCTGTTTTAAAGTCTGATTTTAAATAATTAGCCCATAGTTCAAAACGATCGTATAAGAGGAAACATCCTCTCCATACTTATCCTGTCAAATCCTTTCAGGATTTTGTGTTTCAATTAAGTCATCTCTTATTCTTCTAAACACTGGTCATACCAGGCCAGTCTTTAGTCTTTTTAAAAGATATTGTAGCAGTTAATTTGGCTATGACAGTAGTATTCCTTGAAATTGACAGCCAAGTTCCATACCCATGAGGATGGCCTTAATCTTGGGTTCATATTGTGCTAAATATAACCCCACCGTACTGTTCTGTATTTGCAAAATCTTCCTTACTGTTCTGTTTTGGCACCATCACCTTGATAACTTATTATTATCTCCTTACCTTAATTAGTTTGTACAGTTTTGCATTACTTGTTACTTTTGTTAAGAAATTGTGTGGAGTACTACTGAATTGGAAGGCAGGAAGATCGAATTTGTTTGTAAAAATGATAAGGAGAAAGAGTGTGTGGTTCCTTTAAGAGGTAAAGTGCTTTTCTAAGCTTAGAGATTTACACAGAAAAAATGTCTGTAAGTGGCTGAAGATATACAACCGGTTCTAAAATTGAAACATGTATCAATGGGCTGTGAGATTGAAAATCTTAGGCTTGTTTTAATGTTTAGGCAACTAGCTGGAATCAGCCAATAAATTTATACCAAGCGCTTAATGAATGAAAGCCAATTGAGTTTAAATCTGATAGTTTTGACAATCTCAAACCAATGCTATTGTAAGAAAAGTGATATGTCATCCAAGGTGTATAAGGAGAGGGTTTTTGAAGATTGGTGTGAGAGTGAACCACTACCTGAGAAATAAGCGTTTGGCTCTCACAAGAAATCGCTAAGCTCTCTAAGAAAGCACCATCTTGTAGCTAACAGTACTTCTAGCAAAGAGTCCTCACAGAAGACCTCACAGAGAAAACATCTCTGACAGCTGGATCAGTGGAAAAAAAGGTGTTTATGACTTTAGAACAACAAAAGAAAGGCATGTAGATTTTGAGATACTAAGGTTTAATTTATCCTCTTATTAATTGAGTTATATAAGTGGGACTTGTGTTTATTGGAACAGCATACCAGTAGAATTTAGTTCAGTTAGGGAATAGCTAGTAGTTAAGGGGGAATTGTTCAGTTTGTTAGTAATTCTGTTAATTTGATCACTGTTAGGGTTAAATAAATAAATTGTTACTTGTTACTTATAAAGGGAATATCAGAGATTTTCATTCATTTAATCTCCCCTTCTCCTTAACAGTTTAACAGATTAGGCTGTTTTTTGGGGGGTTTAATTATTAGAAGGGGACCTCTACTCCTGCCATTACAGACTGGGGGCTTGTGTTTCAATTTTAATTTTCAGAGGTGTTCGATGTCCCCTTCTTAACATTTTGGTTAGACTCTCGTCATGCAACTCTTATATCTATCATGTTATTCCAGCCATTTGATTTGTCTCTAGCACCATCTTATTTTTGATTTTTTGTAGTTACCTCTCTGCTTTAATCAATTAGATCATTGGCCATTCTTTCACTAGCTATTCAGCTGTTAACACTGCACTCACACCATTTGACACTTCTAATCACCTGTAAAGACTTGTTATTCAGCCTGTCGACACTCCACTCACACCATTTGTACTATCTTTTGACACTCTTAATTACCTAGAATTATCTGCAATTATCTCTCCACCTATAAATTCTGTGCCTGTGCGCTTCTCTCCACTTCACCTGATGAAGGAGCAATGCTCCGAAAGCTTGTGATTTCAAATAAACCTGTTGGACTATAACCTGGTGTTAAATGACTTCTGCCTTTGTCTACCCCAGCTCAACACTGGCACGTCCACGTCAGTAGTATTCTTGCCTTTGATGTGGAATTTCCTGACTTCAAGCATCTCAGCATAGAACCTAGGATGACACTTAAATTACATTGTTCACAGTTTTGTTCTTTAGATGCAACCAAAGCCCCTTTCATCTCATGTGTTAGATGTTGTGATGGTTGAAAGGACATTGAGTTCTCTGGTCTTCTGACCAACATATGTGTCAAGTAATGGCACAAGAAATATATTAGCTGGGTAGTTGTCTAATTTACTGTTTATGAGATCTTCATGTGAACCTATTGAGTGCAATATTTGGTTACATAGGAAAGATCACATTTCTACATTATTAATTTGTTCTAAAACACATTGGTGATCTTTATATAATCATAGTTGCTAAATTTGTGATTTCTTTCTTTCATCCATCAGCAAATTATTTATTCTAGTTTTATAGTGTGCTTTATTATGTCAATTTCAAAGTCTCAAAGCCTATGATCGAATAGAAAGGGGATCTGAATGGTACAGTGAATTATTAAATTGCCTGTTTATTTATAACATCCAAATTGAATACGGTCTAGACTGATGGAATGAATGTGCTTTAAACATTCATTTCACTTTAAATTCTATGAGTCAGTTTTGTTGGTAAATCTCAAGCCATTTTCCATTGCCAGCAATAAAGTAGCCCAAAATTGTCCAAACTTGGAAGTAAAAACTGCAGTATCTGTGATAGAGTGAAAAAAAAAAACAGCTGGTATGGGAAATGTAAATATTACTCTTACACAATGGAAATAATTTTACCTGCTTAAAGTTATGTGATATTGCTTTATTCTGTAAACATCTGTAAATTGGTTAATCAAAATTGGTGGCATTGTCTCTACCTGCTCAAAGTACAAACTTATTCCAATTACATTTTAATAAGCAATAATTCATTTAAAAAGTTTAAATGCATTCTGCTTGTGATTTTCTTTGTGAGTTGCAAAGTTATGCACTTGTGGAGATGACATAGGCCCGTGTGAACTATGAAACAAAAACAGAAATTGCTGGAGAAACTCAGCAAGTCTAGAGCATTTGTGGGAAGAAAGTGGAGTTAGTGTTTCCAGTCTAGTGATTCATCATCAGTCATTGGATTCATACCACTAACTGTATTCTTCCCATAGATGTCACCAGACCTGCTGAGTTTATCCAGCAATTTCTGTTTTAGTTCTCAAGCATTTACAATACAAAGAATCCCTACAGTGCGGAAGCAGGCCATTTGGCCCATGGAGTCCACACTGCCCCTCTGAAGAACATCGCACCCAGAACCACCCCATACCCTATCCCTGCATTTCCCACCCTAGACACTATGGGCAATTTACCAGGCCAGTCCACCTAACCTGCACATCTTTGAACTGTGGGAGGGAACCGGAGCTCCTGGAGGAAACCCACACAGACACAGGGAGAATGTACAAACTCCACACAGACAGTGGGTGGGATCCCAAGGGTGGGATCAAACCTTGGTCTATGGCGCTGTGAGGCAGCAGTGCTAACCACTGAGCCACCATGCCACCCCATAAATTCAACCTCATGTCAACTTCATACCACTACCAGTATAATTTTAACATGTGTGTCATGTTAGAATCATAGAATCAAAGAATCTCTACAGTGTGGAAGCAGGCCATTCGATTCAACAAGTCCACACCGACTCTCCAAAGATTATCCAACGTGACTCACCCCCCTACCCTGTTGCTGTAACCCTGCATTCCCCGTGGCTAATCCACCTAACCTACACATTCCTGGATACTATGGGCAATTTAGCACAGCTAATCCACCTAACCTGCACATCTTTGGACTGTGGGAGGAAACTGGAGTACCCAGAGGAACCCTGCGCAGACACAGGGAAAATTGGAAACCCCACATAGACAGTTGCCCGAGACTGGAATTGAACCAGATCCTTGGGTCTGTGAGGCAGCAGTGCTACTCTGGTTTATTTTCCTGTATGAAGTATCCTTAATTGAACACACTGTTGCGACTGCTACCCTTGATAGTTATGTAAATAATGTTAACTTTCTTATTCATAAATAGGTAATAAATCAAAAAAAGAAAATAAAGAAGAAGAAATATGTTAATTCAGGAACGGTAAGTAATATTCTTGTACATTTGGTCAGTGGGGCTATATTTCACGTGGGTGTTCTTTGAGATTTTACACCATCCTGTGATTTTCTCGACAATGGTATGTGTGGGTTTCTTTGTGACTAATGGCACAAGCGTCAGAAAAAAAACTCATACAATCAATGACAATGGAATTTTTATTAAGAGATATTTGACTGCCACAAAGGTAAAGTCAGCTTTCAAAGGCCAGAAAGATTGTTCAGCAGTAGTTATGATTTAGTACACCATTAAAAGCCTTAATGAACAAAGCAGGTTTTCATCTGCTGACTCCTCACAGCAATATTGAATAAACTTGAAAGGGATGATATCAGCAGTGCTTTTTCGATATTTTTGTCTCTGGGTTCTTCAACAGTGAAGCTGTTGAGGGAGGTGGATCAGTGGTAGCAGGTACAAGCTTTTCACACAATTAACTGCACATGTGCAAGTACCAGAACTTGGAATCAGTTTGACAGTGCAATGATGGGGAGCATAGACATTTTTACCAGCAGTACAACCTTACAAAACATGACATGCCCTGTGGGGTGGTACAGTGGCTCAGAGGTTAGTGCTGTTGCTTGAAAGTGTTAGGGACCTGGGTTCAATTCCACCCTGGGGTGACTGTCTGAGTGGAGTTTACATGTTCTTCCCATGTCTGTGTGGGTTTTCTCTGAGTGCTGCAGTTCCCTCCCACAATCCAAAGATGTGCAGTTTGGGTGGATTAGCCATGCCATAGTATGCAGGTTAGATGGGTTAACCATGGGAAATGCAGGGTTACAGAGACAAGGTAAGGGGTGCCAGTAGGATGCTCTTTAGAGAACATTGTAGACTTGATGAGCTGAATGGCCTACTTCTATACTAGAGGGATTGTATGACACCCAGCATATCACACATCAATCCTTGTCATAAAACCTTACTTGTACTGTATGTGGTAAGTGATAAAGAAATCAATGTTAGTTCAAGAAATTCTATTGAAACATAATATTCCCATTATTTGTCATGTGATAACAGGTTAGAAAGTATCTGTTCCAATTTTAATTTACGCAGGACTAAACAGAAATAAAGGGGAGATTTCTTGGAGAAGTTCAAAATTAAGAGGAGTTTTGATAATGTAGACAGGGAGAAACATTTCCACTAGCGGTAGGCTTGGTAACCAGACGATGTAAATTCAAGATGATTCACAAAAACTCAGGGAGAAGGTTAAGATTTTGTTAATCAAGTCAATTACGATGATCTCAAAGTACTAACAAGAAGAATGGTGAAAACAATAGTATTTGATAGTAAATAGTATTTATTAGTAAAAGTTTCATTTTAATTCAAAAATTCAAAACTTGCTGTATTAAGGGGTGTGATCAGGCAAGTAAGATAATTTGGATGACTCTTTAAAATAACTTACTATGGGTCAAAGAGCCACTATTTATATGGCAGGTTTAGTCAATTGTTTAGGCATAACACAATGGTTATGGACATTCAGAAATAGGTACTTATCTTTTATCGTATTAATTATTTGAATTGAAAGACAGAGCCGCGTTGCAGAACTATGCAACTGCAGATTAAGTGAAATGAATGTACTTACTTTGTGGATTTTGTATGGCTGCAGGGTCCAACCAAAACCTCCACAAAACCTGTTCTGAAACTCAAAGTAAATTACAACATAGCTTATAAATAAGCATGCTTTTTACACTGCAGTAGAGCTTTTTATGCTGTCGGCTTCGTTGAACTTTTCAATGATGAGTAATTGTGCTAACTTTTTCACAAAACAACTTTGTCTTTTTCAATTCACCATATTTTCCCTTTCCCTTTAGGTTACATTGTTATCTTTCACAGTTGAATCTGAGCATACATTCCTCGATTATATTAAAGGAGGGTGAGTAAATTTTGAAAATAGCTGGACACAAATGCAATGTATTACTATGGTCAGTCAAAACCTGCTTTTCTTGCAAAATTGATTTACGTTCCCAGAGGAAGAAGAATCAGAAGAGCATAATGTGATGCATGGGCTGCGATGCTCAATAACATTAAAGTATCTTAACAGGCGGTGAAGCTATATCAATGAGTTTGAAGTGTTATTCCTTGATAACAGCTTCAATTCTCTACGAAGCCATGTAGAACTGACGTTAATTGCATGCTGTGAAAATCGTCGACAGTATAAATCAAATTAAAATCTAATCTAAGACTCCAAACTTAAATCAATTTGTGTAAAACTTAAAGTTTAATTAATTAAATCTAAGATATTTTGGATATCTAAGATATATTCTAAAGGTTTATTTTGGTGCTTCTCACAGTCCAGTTGGTTGTCAGGATATTACGCATATCAGAAATCAGTCAATATATTTCAATAAATAAAGAAATATGAATATAGATCAGTATATCTCAATTTTGATTTATATTTAGGAACAAAATCAAAAGTTGCTGGAAAAGCTCAGCAGGTCCGGCAGCATCCATGAAGAAAGAATCAGAATTAACGTTTCGGGTCAGTTCTGAGGAAGGGTCACCGGACCCGAATCATTAACTGTGATTTTTTTCTTCATAGATGCCGCCAGACCTGCTGAGTTTTTCCGGCAACTTCTGTTTTTGTTCCCGATTTACAGCATCTGCAGTTCTTTCGGTTTTTATTTTGACTTATATTTAGGCATGCATTGTTACGTTGGTAGGTTTTTGTAATGTCATCCTGGCTCATTTCTAGCACCTTTGCATAACCAGATTGATTCTTGGAATGGCTGGACTGACATACGAGGCAAGGTTGAGTTTGTTAGGATTGTATTCAATTGAGTTTAGGAGAATGCGGGCCAATCTCATAGAATCCCTATAAAATTCGAACAGGATTAGACAGGCTAATTGCAGGAAGGATGTGCCTGATGATGGGGGAGTCCAAAACCAGGAGTTGTAGTTTTAGAATGAGGGGTAAAACGTTTAGGACTGAGATCAGAAATATGTTCACTCAGAGATTGGTGAACCAGTGAAATTCACTACTACAGAAAATGGTTGAAGCCAAACATTGTGTTTTCAAGAAGGAGGTAGCTATAGCTCTTGTAGCTAAAAGGAGTCACGGATATGAGTGGCGGGTCAGATTAGGATATTGAGTGCAATGATCAGCCATGATCTTATTGAATGGCAGAACTGACTCAAGGGGTTGAATGGCGTACTGTTGCTCCTATCTTCTATATTTTTATGTGTAAGAATCACAGGTCATAGTTTCAAGCCCCACCACAGGTTTTTAATTCACAATACTTCAACAAAGTAGCAGTGTGCTATTTTGATGGAGATATTTGTTGAGATATTCAGTTAAGGGGATCTGCCGAGGCAGGTAGCCATAGAGTAGTCTGATTTGTGAAGTAGGGTTTTGAAAAATTATATCACTAAATAAATAGATTAACTAGCCATTAATCTCAATATTATTTTTTGGACTTAGTTGTGCATCGATTGTTGCACTTACTGTAATCTTACACTCCCAATGTAATTGGTTTTCAAGCACTCTGCAACTGCCAGAGAATGTGGTTTATAAATCCAGTTTTTTTTAACCCGTGAATCTCTCTGCAGAAAAATAAATGGCTGTGACGGAAACATTCAATGAAGGAAATATTCATTTATTACAAGGCCAATCTTAAATATATTTAAATGGGAATTTAAATTTGGAGTTGCTTATTTTCTTTCAATATTTAGTAGTTAGTAATAAATACATTTATACAACACTTAAAAATTTAGATAAGAATTATTTGAACCGTTTGAGAAAATGTATCACACTTGTTGGCTTATGGTGTGCAAAAATGTTATGAAAAGGATACAAGCAGTGAAAAATTATAGTTCTGACGTAAAAGTAGAAATATAACACAATTTTGAACAGGGACCCTCGTAAAGATTTTCAAGATTAAAAGCAGTTTTGTGTGAATGAAAGATGGTGTATTGTTTCTGCTGTCTTGATGGCTCTGTAACAGAGGGAACATTCAGAATATCAGATTATCATTAGAAGTTCAAAGGAAGAGATTGGAAAAAAGGAAAGTGAGGGCCTAGTGGTATTATCGGTGAACTGTTAATCCAGAGACCAAGTCATGTTCTGGGGACCCAGGTTTGAATCCCACCATGACAGATGGTGGAATTTGAATTCGATTTTTTTTTAAAAGCTGGAATTAAGAGTCTAATGTGATCATCAATCTGCTGTTGATTGTCGGAAAAATCCATCTGGTTCACTAATATCCTTAAGGGATATCAAACTGCCTACTCATGACTCCAGCAATATGGTTGACTCCTAGCTGCCCTCTGGGCAATTAGGGATGGGCAATAAAGGTGGCCTAGCTAGTAATGTCCTAATCCTGTTAATGAATGAGTAAACAAAAAGAAATGAAGAAGTTCAGAATTTGTGGAATGTACTCCGACCAGAAGGAACTGACGCATGAGACTCAAACAAATTTGAAACAAAATTGTGGATGGATATGAAAAGGAAGAATTATTTTTTACAAAATCAGATAGTCCTTTGTGAGCTTTAATTTCTGAGAAATTGAGAAACTATGTGAAATGTACCAAATCTTATTGGTGAGTGCGTTAGATGGTGAATCTAACTGCTAGCCCATAATTTATTGTCAGAATCATGGTGACACTAATGTTGCTCACTATTGCTTATACATAATGCTACTACAACTTTATGTAAGAGCTGTTGCGTGACAAAATCTAAACGTTACTATTCCAAATGCCATTAATTGCACATAGCAGCTTCTTGCTATCTTGATCAATATTGAAATTCTTTGAGTGACACATTGTTGCTTTGTTTACATGGTAGATTTTGTGTTTTATTCATTCACAGGATGAGGGCATCCCTGGCTAGGCCAGCATTTATTGCCCATCCTTAATTGCCCAGAGGGCAGCTAAGAATCAACTATAATGCTGTTGGTCTGGAATCACATGTAGGATAAGGAAGGCAGTTTTCTTCCCTAAAAGGCATTATTGAAGCAGATGGGTTTTTACGACAATTGGCAATGGATTCATGGTAATCATTAGACTTGTAATTCCATTTTTTGTGTTCAATTCAATTCCACCATCTGAAGTGGTGGGATTCAAACCCAATTCAAACCCATTCCAGTCCCCATTAAACTATATGGTAAGGGTTTATTTCTGGCAGTGAACTGCTCTGGCACTGAAAATTAACAATGAAATGTAGAGTCTCATTTCTTCAGTTGTGACAAATTTAAAAATGTAACTTTTTTAAAAGAAAAGGATTACTTTTTCTTACTGTCTCTTCCTGAATCCAGGCTGTCTTTCCCTCTTTATTTCTTTCTTTTCCTGAATTCACCCAGTGTGGTATACATTTCCTTCTTTATTTCTTCTGCTCTAAATTTCTTAATCCTTCAATATGATTTGTAAAAGAGACACGCATTGTTTGTGCAGGTCCCAGCTGCCTATTTTGCCTTGCAGCACCGTTATCAGTTACTTTCACTAATCGACTGCAAAAACAATCTAGAATCCTCAACAGGCAAGGGCAGGTCTAAGTAATTACAAGCACATTAGATTTCCTGCTGCTACAAACAATGACCTCTGAGTTTTGATGTAAATTAAGCGTTCAGAATTACACAGAGTAAATGTTTTACTTGAGAACTACCAAGGATATCCCAGTTTTAAAAACATCTTTAAATTGTATGAATGCAAATTTTCAATCAAGGTGCTAACTTTCCATAACCATTTGAGTAATTTCATGACCGTAGGAAACTTCTCCACAATAATGAGACTTCCTACAACGCATAAATTGACAGTAAAAAGAATATCTCACAATCAGTATCACTTGACAAAGCAACCCAGACACTGAGTAATGGCATTAATGCGAATCTTTTTTTTGTATCTTACTAATGCTTTTTTAAAATAGTCAGAGTTTGTGGTAAAAATAATGGTGAGACAATCAAAGTTTAATGTAATGGAAAGTGTCATTGACAGTGCTATGTGGGAGACATTGACATAAGTGTTAATGTCAGTGTTAGCAATCAAGCAGCTCAGGCTCATGGGTACAGTCAGGAGATCAAAGACTTAGGGAAAAAGGCAGGAAAGTGGGGTTGAAGATCGTCAGATCAGCCAAGATTCACAGAATGACAGGGCAGACTCAATGGGTTGAATGGCCATTTGCTGGTCCGATATTTCAAGGAAATTATACAGATAATACAGCATTGACCCAGATATCCGAAATACCGATGGCAAGCCTAGCCATGTCAATCGTATAAAGTCTCCCTCAGTAATGTCTTGTGCCAAAGCTTGGAGAGCTGTCCACAGAAGGTCAAGCAACAACCTGATACAGTCATGCTCACTGCATCATTACCTTATAGACCATGCTGAACAGATCACCTTCACCACCTCTGAGTATGTTCTGTAATACCTGATGTGAGTTTGCCTCAATCAAGATGTTTTTCCTGATGTGGCAATGTTTATGTTATCTCCTGTAAGAAATTGGATATGGTTATTGTGGCATTGAAAAATCTAACAGACATTTATTACAACTCACTAGCCTGTACAAAATGACATTCCTCAGACACATAAGGATCTGGGCTCATATTAAGTTGTAAATTTACAACAAAACAGCATGCTTCCAGTAAAGTATCTTGCAACCAGTGACCTGAGTTAAGATAGAGTATGAGATCTTCCTACCTGCTGGTCATACACTGTGATATAGTGATGATGTCATGAGCATGTCTCATAAAATTATACTGACTATTAAACATAACACAACAACCCTTGCAGGACAGATCCACCAGAGGTGGCTGCGTAGTGGTAGATATTTTTCAAATAACCTGTTCAGAGATGTTATTACACACTTTTGGAGAAGATGGGACTTGATCCTAGGCCTCCTGGTCCAGGGGTAGGAATACTACAACTCTGTCACAAGAGCCCTTA